AGCCTGGAGTGAGACAGGAACACTGGAGGCCTGATGGGTCAGGTCATGACCTTCTGCATGAGCCAGGGTATCCTCAGGGTTATTGCCTCCATGTGACGCCACAGAGGCCAACACAGCAGCTCACCGCCTTTCCTGGTGTGGCTCCAGGCGGGGTAGAAAGGGAATTTGAGAATTCCCAACATGACCATAATCAAATTGACCTGAGTTCCAGTTTATACCTCCTGTGTGGTCAGTAGCTCCCAAGCTAATAGGGGTCCTAGTCGGTACTGAAATCCCCTAGAGGGAAGTGGAGTCAGCCACAACTTCAAGGAGTCCAACAGAGAAGATTCCAGGAGAAAGGAATTTACAATATGAAATTCAAGTTAGGAGCATGGCAAGAACATTACATTTCCATGTTCAACGTTCCTTAGAATTATAGTCTACCGGGGACTGAAGAGATGGCTGAGTAGTTAAGAGGACTGGCTGCTCTTCCAGGGGACCCGGGTTTGGTTCCTAGAAGCCACATAGCAGCTCACAACAATCTGCAATTCCAGTTCAAGGGAATTCAATGCCCTCTTCTGCCTCCACAGCCACAAAGCACACTCGTGGTGCACAGACATACATGCAGGCAAGACGACTGTAGAAGTAAAATAAAAATGAATCTCAAAAACTAAACAAACAAGTACGGTGTAAAGACCATTTGGTTGATTGCATCAACCCAAGACTACTCTCTGTCCTGACTATTGCTCATTTTATGCACAAAGGTCATCAAAAAGCAGTAAGGAAAAATTAAACTGTATAAGAAATAATAACATGACTCTTACTATACATAGAAAATATGACTAGCTATCTAGAAATTCCAAAGGAATCTCTAGATTCCTAGGTTAAGAGAATCTTAATCTAGATTAAGAATTAATAGAATCTGTGTAGATTAAGAGAGTTCAATACAGTAACCGAATAAATTGGCTGAAACAAAATAGGTCTCCAGGAGAAAAATTAAAAATTATGAAATCCATAGTGGAATGGGCTCAGGGGGAGAAGGTTCTCAGAAGACAAAACGTCATACTGTGTGACAAAGGTAATGCTTCAGACCAATCAGGGACAGATGACCATCAATGAAGGCACCAGAATAATCCACTGAAATACAGTCCATGCGAACTACAAATCTATTTTCAAACGATAAGAAAAGTTTGCTAAACTTCATAATCCTGAAGGCTGAAAACATTCCTCCCAGAGAAAGACAGAGGTCAGAAAGCCATTCCCCCATGTCAGGTCACTGCACCGTGGGCAGGAGGATGCCGCAAACTGAACAAGTTACTCAGAGGAAACTCACAACTCTGGACATTAGCTCCAAGTCTAAGCAACAGGCTTTTTCCGATGAGGAAGAAGACTCAATACAAGAAGAGCTAAGGCTGGGCATGGAGCCACAGACCTGTGATGCCAGCATTTAGGAGGTAGAGGGAGGAGGGTCAGGAGTTCAAGGCTAGCCCTAGCTCCATAGCGAATTTGAGGCCAGCCTATGTTACATAAGACCCTATCTCAAAAACTGAACAAATAAAAAAAATGAGGACATGAAAAGACAACTTGCGGAAAAGAAAAACAGGCTGGTTGGTAGTGGCATATACATATAATCCCAGAATTGGAGACAGAAGCAGGTAGATCTCTGAGTGAGCCCAGTCTACAGAGTAAGTTCCAGGACAGCTAGGGCTACACAGAGAAACCCTGTCTTAAGAAATAATTAAAAATAAAGAGCAAAATAAAAAAAACCCACTATGGCCCAGAATTATATAAATTCTGGAGAGATGCCTCAGAGGATAAGAACACTTACTGCTCCTGCAGAAGATCAGAGTTTGGTTCCCACTACATGGCAGCTCACAAGCACCTGTACCCCAGTTCCAGGGCACCCAATACTTCTGACCTCTGTGCATGTATGGACTTTCAGGAACAGACAAATGACCATAAATTAAAATTTTAAAAAATGCCCATATTCACCTTATAATCAGGGAAGTTAAATCTATACCCATTGCTACTCGATTCACAATGACTAGGACATAGAAATGGCTTAGACGTCTGTCTATCAGCTGATGAGAAGAAAATGTAGTATAATACACAATGAGATATTAGTCAGCTGTAAAGAAAAACAAACTTCGTAGGTAAATGGGTGGAGCTAGAAATAGTCGTTCTGAGTGAGGTAACTCAGACCAGAAAGACAAATGTCACATTTTCTCCTCTGCGGATGCTGGCTCTTAGATGTGTGTGTTTAAGCGGGAGTATCCATGGGAGGCGGAGAATTAGTAAGGGGGCATGGAGGAAGGGTTTCAAGGGAGGGTTAGAACAAGGTGCTGTAAAGAAGAAATAGGAGTAATGGGAAAGAAAGGGTTAAATGGGGCAGAAGCTGGGAAGGCAGAGTAGAGGAGGGACAACTGACACTAAAGACCTTTGAAAAAGTCACATGCAACCAAATGCTCTGGAAGCTTCCTGAAATATACGCATATGTTAAAGGAGTTTAAATGGAGCCACCCTGTAATGGGAGAAGGGAAAAGCAATGCCTTCCCCAGACAGCAGAGGCTATAAAATAAAGAAGTCTGGAGCTGGTATGGGCTACCTCTCCTCAAGCTCTCAATGTAGTTTCCCAGACCCCGCCCAAACATGGCTGGTTGCTGCCATTGCTCTTGGTTTCTCTCCAGACCTCCGTGACAAGACTATGGATGCAGACCCTGCACACTTGGGTCCTGAGACATGGAGAAACCAGGCTGGTCCTGACCTGGAATCTTCATCGCCACTGAGTAGCTTTAATAGTAATGAGAGGTTCAACGCGTGCAACCAGGGGAGAAAAGTCATCCACCATCCTCCCCTGCAACCGAACCCTGCAAGACTGACCTGGCGCTACCTGCTCCTTGGCGCATTCATGGCGGGAATGTTACAGGAGTAGGCGACTGTTTTCTGATTGGGTTTCATGTCCACTTCACAAAGTAGAACTCATACCAGGTACAATTAACTGCACCGAGACCCCGTGGCTGTCTAGGACATAGACTCTGGAGGGGAACCCAAGGTTAGTATTCTGCTAAATAAACATAGTATTAAACTACACCCTGAGTGCACGGATTAGCGTATCTTCCGACCTTTGTCAGAGAAGCTCCTTTCTTGCAGTTTTTGATTACTAGGCTCAACTGGTCAGCATACAGATAGTAAGACAGTGGCGTGTTCAGCTCTAAATGAACAGCTATCACACCTCTGCCTCCAAGGCTTGGAATCTTTGCAGAGGGAGGCAGCAGGAAGGCTGGAGGAACCAGTCACGAACATGTGCAGGGAGACAGGGTTTGCCCTCAAGTCTGAAGACGAAGACGTGAGCTCCTTCCCTGGAACCCACTGAGTGGAAGGAGAGAGCTGACTTCAGCAAGTGGTCTCCTGACCTCCCACGTGCATGCCGTGGCACGTATGCATGCGCACACGTATGCATGCAGGTAATAAAAAATTTAAAATATAAGCTGAAATATCTCGAAGCACTTAAAATAAATGAGACCGGGTTTAATGTGGACATGGGAGATCTCTACATCACATGTAGTGGAGACACAGAATGAAGATAACAGGACAACAATTCTGCTTGTTAGACTTATGTGTATTCTATTTATGTATACGAACATGAATGCCAGAATCGTGGTCTGGCCTAAAAGCATCATGCCAGTTGCTTTGGTGGGAGCCGAGGATTAGGACTGGCAGAATGGGCATGGGTGAAGTCAGTTAGCTGAATTTTCATTCTACAAGGAGCCTGCAATCATTAATGACCTGGCAATGTAAACACTGACCCCCTACAGAAACTGCCTTTACTGGTTTTGTGGCGGTCTATGTTTATTTCACAATCATTTAGCATCAAGTTGATTGCCTTTAGACCAAGTTGGCAAGTGTTTTCTGTGAAGGCCACTTGCTTCTGCTGTTCTAGGGCAAAAGCAGCCGCATGACATTGTGTCCTAATAAAACTTTATTGATAAAAAACAGCTGAAGGGCCAGATTTGGCCTATGAGTTATAATATGGTGATGCCAGTTTAGATTAAGTTCACCAGGTAACTGAAGCATTTTTAAGCAAGTACTTAGTATAATAAATAGTCTTCCTATTGCCAACTGGGTAAGCCACAGACTCGGAGGCCTTGTCACAATAATTTAGACTCTGGACACATCATATTAGAGACCAAACATTTATCCCAGCGTAGATAGTCCAGCCACCTTTCATCTGGGTGGTGGCCCTTCGCCTTTCCAGCAGCAATGAAAAACAGCTGAGCCTGTGGAAAGGCCAGCACCACACTTGAAACTCAGAGGGAAGTTTCGCAGTCTTGAAGGTGTCTCCTAAGAAGCCCTAGGTGTGTGGGAGCCTCACAGCAGTGTCTCTAGCTGCCCTGTGGGGCAGAGAGGGGGCCTCGGGATGCTGAGCATACATGGGAACGATTCTGACATGGGGGCAAGTGTTGGCTCCTTACAGAGGTAGGCACAAAGGGTGTTGAGGATGTGAGGCCTTGTGACTGTCCTGCTGCCGTCCTCCACCGTGGGGGCCGCCAACGCTAACCTGCCAAGCTCTAGGAGCCAGGCTTAATCATTCCTGGTTCTCACAGTCTTCAGCAGTGCCATTTTCTACAGGGACTCCAATCCTGTTACAGAGGGGCTTGGCTGCTGTCTAACGCCTGAGAGCACCTGCGGAAATATAGCTTCTCTTTTGATAATTCCTCTGCAACACAAACGTAGGCCAGGTAGAAGGGCCTCCTGGCTCCACGTCCAGCAACTGTCTTGGCATTGAATTTAACCCAGCAAGGAGGAAAGGAAAATACAAGGTTGCACCCTGCTCCATATCTCATCGCTGACCTCAGCCCTGCTCCCATAAACCTTCCAGACAGAGACAGGAGGCACTTGACTCCCAGAAAGAGAAAGAAAGCAAAATCGTACCTGCTTGGGGGCCACTGTTTTCGTTGGATTTCTCCCTTGGGGTCCACTTTGAAGAATCAGGAATGAGGGCTCTGCTTGGAGCTTGGCACACCTGCAGTGGCTGCCTGGTCGCACGCAGAGGTCTCGCCTTAAGCCTGTAGTGTTTCGTATGGGCCAAGGTCGAGCTCCCACGGAGAGGGTGAGCCTCTTGCTAGAAAAATGACCAGTGTCTCCACTCCTCCTGCTTGGCTAATCTTCGGCCATGGCGTCCCTGGCCATAGGAGCTACAGTTTTTCTTGCCCACATTTCACCTCAAGAGGCCCCAGATGGCACTCCTAAGTCCCAAGTCCAGCACCTGAACTAGTCATGACCAGATTACCGTATTTACTCTTGTTATACACCCTCCTTTTTTTTTCATAGTTTCCACCACTGTAAAACATATAAAGGAAAGGGTGTTTTAAGTGTCTGCCCTAATTCTGGGCCTGGGCCTGCCTCTCTGAGGGTGTTTGTCGCTGGAGATAAGATGTCTTGGAGTCTACAGTTCCTAACGTGCTATTTTTCTAAGTCACTTTCTGGGACAGCAAGTTGTAATACTGGCACATTAATGTGAGAAGTGGGGAGGAGCAGGAAAACAAAGGAGAGGGCTACAAGACAGGTAGGAGTTTGCAGTTCCAACCTCAGGGCAGAGCACTATCTAGGAGCAGGGAACTGGACCGTTGAGAAAGTTCTGAGAGCTTCTTCTTTCCTCAGACTCTCCTAGAAGACTGGCTAGGAACTTGCCCAGCAGGACAGGTTTTTTTTTTTTTTCTTGTGTGAGTCTTTTTTTTTTTTTTTTTTTCCAAGACAGGGTTTCTCTGTGAAACAACCCTAGCTGTCCTGGAACTAGCTCTTGTAGCCAGGCTGGCCTTGAACTCATAGAGATTCGCCAGCCTCTGCCTCACGAGTGCTGGGATTAAAGGCGTGCGCCACCACCGCTGGGTCAGCAGGAAGGCTTTGAGTGATGTTTTCTCCCCCCAGACCTTCCAGGATTGGGAAGCTGTTGCTTATAAACTCCACCACCCTCAAGGTTGCCTTAGCCTTCAACAGGGCGCTAGAACACATGAAATAGAGATTGAAGTCCCCAGAAGAAACAGCCTATCTAGTGAGCTCTGGGGTAGCAGGAGAGTGTCACAGCCTAAGAGGCTGGGAAACCTGAAAAGAGATGCTGACTTCGAGATCAGAGGTAGGTCTTCCGACTGGCATTTTTGTAGCCGAGGAGAGTGGGCAGGATTCCAACTGAGGCGGGGCAGCAGGCCAAAAGTCCTTGAGCCACAGGTAAATTATTACAGCTTTTATCATCTCTCCAAGCTCTTCTGGCACACAAAGGTCTAGGTTTACATCTCATATAAAAATGGGAAGTTATGAGATGGGCAGTGGAGGCGCATGCCTTTAATTGAGGCAGAAGCAGGCAGATCTTAAATGTTATAAATAAAAACCAGAGTCAGACACACCGAGAGTGTAAATACAGGTGAAGTCGAAGAAAGACAGAGTTTATCAACCTGCCCAATGGTCTTTCTCAAAATCTCTTAACATCCTTCTTGGGTGTGTGTGGCCCAAGCTGACCTTTAGAGCACAGAGGTCCCCATGGGGTAGACTCAGAGGGACCCTCTCCTTTTTTTTTCTTTGGAGGACACGTACCCCTAGTTTGCTTTCTGTTGCTGTGATAAACACGGTGCTCAAAAAAAAACTCAGGGGAGGACAGGAAAGGGTTTATCTAACTTTCTCATCCAGGACACCATCCGTCACTGAGGGAACTCCAGCCAGAATGCCAGCAAAGTAGGCACTTGAAGCAGAACCCATGCCTTTGTAACGGTATACAGCCTGGTTTCTGTTCATACCACATATGTTTTTGCCTACCCACCTCCCTTTTTAAAGTTACCTTAGAGTGGGTGGGGTAGAACACAGGTGATCTAATAGGAGGTTAGACTGATCACTTTGAAATATTTTCAATCATACTCTTGACTCTCACAGAAATCCGGTGCAGAGCTGTTGATGGAGAATAGTTTCCTATTGTTGTTGATTGCTGTGCAGTAGAGGACAAAGCCGGCTCCCAGGTGACCATTTTCTAAGGACTTGCAGTGTACTTGGGCCTTGGTCACTACTCTATGAGGAACCTTCTCTCTGCATCCTGCCTTCTCTTCCTTGAAGAACATGGTCTATGCAAAGTATATCTGGACAAAGGTGACATGCAGACACCAGGGGTGATGTGCTCGGTTTCCGATTCTCCTCTGCTTCTCTTTTTTTTTTTAATTTTATTTAACTTTATTTTATGTGCATTGTTGTGAAGGTGTCAGGTCCCCTGGAACTAGATCTTCAGACAGTTATGAGCTGCCATGTGGGTGCTGGGAATTGAACCCGGGTCCTCTGGAAGAGCAGTCAGTGCTCTTAACCACTGAGCCATCTCTCCAGGCCCCTACTTCCAATATCTTTTATGGTTTTGTCTTACCTTTCTTACTGACAAATATTGTATGTACCAACCACGGATCATGCAGGACTCTCCTGTTCTGCTCTCCTGGTAGATCATGTGCTATGTGTCAGCTGGGTTACCAAGCAACTCACTACTTACGGTAAAAATGGCCCTGACTGCTAAAACACATCTCTACCGGGATGACTTGCAGATACACTGTTTGTGCCCACCAGGGACCCACAGTTGTGAGTCTCCCTCAGCATGCAAACTTTTCTAGGTGGGACGATCCATTTGAGGGCCCCTGGAAGCTAAGTCAACAAAATTATTACAAGAGATTCTAGCCTCTGGGATGTGGTGTTTGTATTCTAGGCAGGTCCTATGCCTACCTGGTGTGTTCCTGTCTTCTATGCCAACTGAGCAGCCCCATGCCAAATATGAACCTCCTCAGTTTTGTGCATATGAACATTTAGTTGAGGCTAACACCAGACCCCCGGGGCGCACTTTGCAGATGTTTGGGTTGAACTCGGCAGCTTCTGCATCCTGTTCCGTCTCTGCTTACAGGGAGCACAAGGCACCATGGTGCACCTGGTCCACCTCTGTGACAGCAAGTTTTGCAAACAGTGTTCACACGTTCCATGATGCTTTATTCGTGGAAGTGTACACTCATAGGATAAAAGGCCCCTCCCCGAAAACCTACAGCCTTACTTTTTAGATAGCAAGAATCCAACTGCTATAGAACCAATGCTAACTTTCTAATAAACACAACAATACGTAGCCTAGCCCAGATGAGAGGAGTCAGTTTCAGTGGAAGTGCTCCATTCTTTTTGTAAACAAGGGCCAGTCCATTCACGGCACACTTGGTTGAGCAGTGGCCCAAACTGAACGGAGCTGCTTCTCCTACTCCGGAGCTCTCTTCCGGATGGAAACGTCAGGCTCGCCTAGTTGCTTCCCTCGCTTGGAGTATGTTCTTCGATTGGTGGGTCAGATGCTGAGCTCTCATTGGCCTCTTGAGTCTCTTGCGTCTCTTGCGCAAGGGCCGCTCTCCACAGTTCCTCAGTGGCGTTCTTCTGGATCACAGCTTCCGTGTAGCTTTGAACGATCTGATGGGCCGCGAGAATGTGCTTCCTCTGCGCAAGCCTCACTGAACCAAAGCAACAGGGGAACCTTTTACTTTTCTGCTCGAAATCATCCCTCAGCGTTTTTAAGATAGGGGTAAAATATATATATTCAAAATGCATATTTTCTGTTTTGGATTTACTGTGCTCAATAAAAACAACGCATTGCGTGTTTTAGAAGGACATTTTCTGAAAATAAACCAGACCTGCTGTATTTTGAATTTGAAGTATTTTTCCATGGAAAGCTTGGCCACCAGCTGGGGCACTATTGAGGAATAATTGGGTTATCAGTGTACTAATTTCACGAGCTATCTCAAGTGCCAAATCTAACCTTATAGAAGTTCATTGAATTGTATAGACTTGGAATCTGATTAATTTTGGTGTGTGATGTTTTTAATCATAAAAGTATTTTTTAATAATAAAATTTATATAACGAAGAATCTATTGAGTCGTAGTTGCATGGACTAATGGAGGTGGGGCCGAGTAGAGGAAGTAGGTCATTGGGGCGTTGCCTTTGAAGGGTGCATCTCGGCTCTGGACCATTCCTGGGACCAGGGCATGGACATCTTTCCTCAGCTACACTTTTCTGTCCTTCTGCCACACTAAGGCCCAGAAACAACAGCTCCATGGATCTGTTGGATGGGACCATCTGGGACTATGAGCTCAGATGGTGGTCCTAGGAGCAAACGCTCTGAACCAAGCTTTCGCCCGGGCAACAGCAAATGCCAAAGCCCCTGGGAAGGATGAGTGTTCGCGTTGATAACGGCGGTGACATTCGCAACCTGCACTTGTCCCTAACTCGTGCTAGAGACTGCTTCAGACAGTTGGCGTGTGAGCATTCATTCAATTCCACCACAACCTTAAAAGAGAATGTTATTAGCAGTCTCCTTTTTAGAAGGCTGTAGCCACAAGGGAGTTCATCAGACGATCTATCCCAAACCATACAGCTAGCTGGTTAAGGATCGTAAGAGGTACTGAGGATGGGGCATGGCGGCACATGACTGTAAACTTAGCACTAAAGATTGCTAATTCAGGTCAGCCTGGGCTATAGAATGTATGAGACCCTGTCCCCCAAAGGAAATTAAAAGAACTGTATATTCTTTGCTGTTTGGGTATCAATTACTTTACACAGGGTATTGTATAGACCAGATCACCCACTTGGCGGTAAAACGCGGGGGTTTTGGGGACACAGTCGTCATGACTCAGCCCCACTAGCTAGTAATTTGTTTCCAATTACTAATTTCCTTGACAGAAAAATGATAATACACCTATAGCTGTTATAAGAGATTCAGATACTGTGGAGTTTCTAATGCTCAATGAACTGCCTTGACCTTGGTGTGCACAGTAAGATAACTGGGCTGGGGAGAGGGTTCACCGGGTGAGAGTGCTTGCTGCTCTTCCAGAGGACCAGTCTGGTGCCTAGCACCCATTTCAGGCAGCTCACAACCACCTGCATCCTCCAGAGGATCTGATACGTTCTTCTTGTTTCTGTATACACACACAGACACACACACACACACACAGACACAGAGGCAGAGACAGACAAAGGATAAAATAAATCATAAATCTTTTTTAAAAAAAAATAAGATAACTCCAAATGGCCTATAGATAACTTAGTCTTGGGTAAAGAGTGCATATAAGCCGGGTGGTTGTGGGGCACATGCCTTCAATCCCAGCATTTGGGAGGCAGAGGCAGGTGTATCTCTGTGAGTTTGAGGCCAGCCTCCTGGTCTACAAGAGCTAGTTCCAGGACAGGCTCCAAAGCTACAGAGAAACCCTATCTCAAAAAGCAAAAAAAAAAAAAAAAAAAAAAAAAAAA